GCGCTAACCCATTGCACCACTGGAGCCCAGTTTCACTTAATCTTTTTATTCTATATAGCTTGCCCTTTTTCAACCCGTGATTCTACTTCCTTTTGAAAGCAGGGGCAAGGGACTCTGCACTGGAGTAGAACGTTCAGTCCCAGCTGCTAGGCTGGGACTCTGCCATTTGGAATATGAACATCCACCTTTATCCTTCTCCTTTTCATCCACTAAGGGAGTGCTTAGTGGAGCAGATATAGCCCTATGGTTTTCCTTCCCCAGACTATCCACACTCCACCCACCCAATTTTATTATTGCCCATACTTTACTTTTCTGGGGTTTTAGTTAAAATTTTGACATTAAATATTCTATTAAATGAAGCCATTAAGCAGAATTTTTTATAACATAGTAGGTCTCCCTGGGATGGGGTGGCTGCCCCTCACTGGCAAAAAGGGGTTAAAAGCAGCCCTAGTAAGGCTGCGCTGAAGGCAGCCAATCAGAGGAGGGCTGAGAGGAGCAGCCAATCAGGGCCAAGTAGGCCTATATAAAAAACGAGCTGCAAGGCAGAGGAAGGCAGTTTTCTGCTGGGAGCACAGGGAGGAAGGACTGTGTCCCTGAAGGGCCAAGAGAACTGCCAGCACCCTGGACAGAGCAGTGCTGCAAACAGGGGCCGAGGAAGCCAGAGACACGTCCTGGCTGACTGCCGGGGGGTTGCAGACTGAGGCCCTGATACAAAGGTAAAGAGGGTGGCGTAGCCACGTGGGAGGTGGCTAGACCGTGGACTGCAGTTTGCCACTGGCAGGAAGTGGCTGAACAGTGGACTGCAGGTCCGCTGGCAGGGGGGAGCACAGTGTGTGGCACGGCCGGAGGGCTGTGTCGCTGAAGAGGGCGCCGCAGTCCTTAGAGAGACGTGGGCCAAGAGCGGGAGTCACAGTGGCAATGCACCCCCTGAAGGGGGCGCACTCAACTGCAGAGCTAATTCCCAAGACAGGCTGAAGAGGCACCAGAGTGGTAAGCGAACCCCATTACACTCCCTTTATGCATTCCTCCTCTTTTTCCTTCATTCCTTCTTAATTTTTCTTTGTTTCTCCCATCAGCTTTAATTTTATTTCCATCTGTCTGTCCCACTATTTCACTTTCCTCTTTTTTCTGGGTTTTGTTACTTCAAACCCGCTCTCCCACCTTCAATCCCTCTCTCCTTTTTTTTTTTAAGCCACCAACACTCACCCTCACCCCCCACACACACTTTTTGACCCTTTTCTCTGTTTCAATGTGTTGCTGCCCAGTTCTTTGAGGATAGCATTCTGTGTTAGAAATAGGGCTGAAATATTATGCTATAAAATGGGTTGGACATACGCTATACTAGCAAACACCTGAAAATGCTTCAAACCTTTGGCATTAAGTCTTGTTTTTGAAAGCTGCCTAATTCTGATACTTTTATGGCCTTCTTCATAGTATTTGAGTGACTCCAAATATTTTGTCCCCCACTTCCCTTCCACACCTCTTCTCTCTCTCTAACCCTCTCCAGTTTGAAGGAGAAATAGCTTGATTAGTTTATATATTTTTGTTGTTTATGTGTGTGTGAGTAAAAGTGTGTGTTGTGCATCTGAGGCAAAGTTAAGTCAAAGAAATTAGTTTTGCGTTTCTCTCTCTAAGTGATTAGTTTGATAGTCATTCTTATCTCTTGCAGAAGTTCCATAGTCTAGGTCCAGCTTTTGTGAAAGTTCTATCTCCAACACTCTCAAACCTCCCTGACTAGTCAACACTAATTGTTCTGGTGGAATGTAGCCATCAGATCAAGTGGATAAAGGTTTATGATACCGGGAACTCTCAGATAGCTAGGCCAGTCCCAAGACATGCAGCTATACCAGTTATAACCAATAGCTTATATGCGGTCTATGGGCTAGAGATGGAAACTGGGAGCCAGACATTCTGCATTAGATTTTCAGATCTGCCATCAATTCACTGTGATACTTTGGACAATTGAGTTAACAGTGCATCAGTTTATCCACCAATAAAGTGCATATAGTAAATTCCTACTTATTGTACCACATTGGGGTATCATAGGGCCTATTTTAAAGTAATTTGAAATCCTCTAATTAAAAGGGGCTACATAAGTGCTAAGTATTATTATTTATTCTGTCTAGATATTAAGAGACCTCATGTAAACTATCAAATTCAATAGTGACAGGGCACACATCAGTACTTAGATATATGGAAGCCAAAGAACACACAAAGTAGTGTTACCCTGTTTGGCCTGAGCAGCTAGCAAAAAATTCAGGGTCTTGCAGGTTGCTCCAGGTAGGAGGAGAAACTGATGATATCAGGAATCTTTGATACCTGGAGGAGGAAGCTGGACATGGAGGTGGCTCTGCAACTGTGAGGCCTATTTCCAATCCATCTTGAAGTCACATTTCCATGCAGAGTTCCTCTGAGCTGTGTCCACTGCCTCCCTGGCACCTTCAAGGACCAGTGGGTACTGTCCAGGGTTCTCTGCTCAGCGGCCTCTTCTGGATCCCTGATTTTATCCTTGTGACCTTCACTTCTGTCCCTATTTTTTTCATTTGTTGTCCCCCAAAATTAGTTGATGCCTGGGTCCAATAGCTCTTCCCCTTAAGCTGAGGGGGGAGGCCGTTAGTAATGGGTAGGCCCACACCTGCCCATCCCCAGTGCTTAATAGGTACCTTTGATGCAATCTTGTTTATTTACAAGAAATATACAAAGTCCTGTATCAGAGGGGAAGATGTCTTAGTCTGGATCTGTAAAAAGCAACAGAGTCCTGTGGCACCTTTAAGACTAACAGATGTATCGGAGCATAAGCTTTCGTGGGTGAATACCCACTTCTTCAGACGCATGTCTGCACGTCATGACATGCATCTGACGAAGTGGGTATTCACCCACGAAAGCTTATGCGCCGATACAAAGTCCTGTTTTCCTTGAACACAGAGGAGCCAAAACTCAGGAGATAGTTTCATTGCTTACAGCCCCAAGCCTCTTTTAGCCAGCTTGTCCAGACTGCATGTGTTTTCTAAACCTGTTACTGTGTGGTTCTGCTTCTTTCTCCACACTCCCCACCCAAGCCCTCGATTCACAAGTTCAGATTCCTGGGTGGACTCACATATGCTTGTTTTAGGTTGGGAGCTGCTACAAAAGGAGTATAACTGTTTCTTACAGCCATCTTAAATAAAGTGTGGCAGTCCAACCCACCAACTTCAATGACATTTAACCTGACCCACAATAATAGCTATATTTGTTACGTTTTGACAAACATATATTACTAGAAGAATACCTGTTTACAGGATCCTATGTCTTTTCAGTGACAATAATATTGGACATAAAAATACACATTAGTTCAGTCACCCTCACCCCTCCACAAACTGATTTTTTTTACCTTCTGCTCCAAGGTGAGTCGATACTTCTGTTCTACCCTTTTGCATTTGTTGTACCAACTGTTTTCATCCATGATGAAAGGAGGTCCAATATTTTCGGGAGTACTGCTTTCACTGCCGCTACTTCCCAGAGTCCTTAGCTCTTCTTCATCACTGCTGATGCTATCAGAACTGAAGGACCAAATTTATAAACCAAATGAAAATTACAGTTAACGGATACAAAACCTGCCTTGAAACTGAAGCACTGCTACTCTTAAAACATGAAATGCAAAGCCTTCTTTAAAAAATAAATAAATAAATAAATAAAAATCAGCAATGGAATAGCTGTAGGATTAAACATTACAACTACAGTTTACAAGATAGTCATTACTTGCTCAGCAAACACAAAGCTATTTCACAACCACCAAAAGTAATGCCAGGAATCTGTGTCTGCGAAGTCATCAGCTGTGTAAGGCAGCACAAAAAGGAAGATCTTGCTATGTTAAATTGGAGAGGTGGCCATTAACTCAGAAAGGTAAGAATTTTAGCGTATCCCTTTACCTTTTTCCTTGTTACTAAGTTTTCTGCTGCATCATCAAGAACTTTTAGCTAGTTTTCAGTTGTGAGAGTTCTGCATAATTCACTTATTTTTCATGTTTCTTCTAGAAGTATTTAGCATTGTAAATACTATAAATCATAGTATTTATATGATTCTCTTCAAATACACTATTTAAAACAGTTCAAGAAGTATACCAACAGTGAAGGCATGCTACTATAACACAGTCGTTACTTATGGATCTTTTAGTCCTCATTATCAAGGTTCAACATAAAAGTGTTTGAATCACTGCCCTAGTACTTATGGGGTCTAATTTGTTTTAATTTTAAGACAAATCAGGGAATCAGCCCTGCTGTGACAAACATGTGTCCATTAAAGCTTTTAGACTATATCAGTACAGTGGTGACCCTGAACAGACACAGGGTTTTCGATAAGCTTTGTGTGCACACTTAAGAAATGCTCACATTCTATTACTGATCTGGGTCAAAAATATTTTTGTAGTGTTGTAGTTAACTTAAATTGAACTTTGCACTTAGGCAATTTAAAAAAAATCTAATGAGATCTGCATCTCTAGAGAAGAATTAGAATTTTCATTTTTCAGCCATGTGTCTTAGAGACAGTACATCAAATGTTTCATGGGAGGACATCTTAATTCCCGCCTGCTTTTCAAAACAGTTAAATCTAGCAACAAAATCTATAGCAGTATTTCCATGCTTTTTTGAGGTGCTGAGTGGGGCTACTGATGGCCTCACTGTTCTCAGTCAGATACAGGTATTAACTAAATGTTCTTTGTCAAAAAGGATCATTATGCTAAACCATATAGTTAAAAATTGGTTGAAGAGACCCAGGTATTATACAGGTAACCACAAGATATTTTTGAAGGGCTAAATACTAATACCACATATAGACAGACTTTACAAGATGCAACAGAAGTCAACAAGATATAGGTGCAGATGTGATTTTTCTCACCTTTATACAAACAATGCCATTAACTATGAAGAAAAAGGTACACATAGGAAGGAAAATGTAATTGGCATATCTTCCTACAGAAAAAAAGCATTGATTACAGCTGCTCTACAGTCTGATATTAGCTCTAATTAAAAAGTCTACGCTTCAGTGATAAGTAATTTCTCTCTTTAAAATTAGCATAAGTATTAAACACCTGAGTATAGACTAAAATTTCAGCATGACTGCTCACAGCTCATAAGTCACGCAGTATTACAGCAATAAAAAGCTAAGCATCCCATGCTGGTCACCAAGTACAGAATGTCACAACATACTGAAAGCCAAATAAACTTCAAAAAGATAAGTAAAAGACAAAATATCCAACTACCAAGTGAAGCTGAAAAATAAGATGAAGTTTCAAAATGAAAAGTACCTTTGGGTGAACTTCAGATAGGGTGTATAATCTATTACAGCTGGAAAGTTGCCATCCAATCCCTCTCCCTTCAGGCAGAAACTGACATAATACAGAGAATCAGTAACCATGTTACACCAAGAAAATGAAATGGCAGTGACACAGTTCAATCTTAATAGGATATAATTTGTTTTTCTTTACCAACAAAATCAAAGTATTATTAAAAAAAAAAGATTGTGGGGTACAGTTTTCAGTTGCTGAAATACCATCACATATCCTGAATCTAGATTGTTAAAGTTAAATTACCAACTAATTTATTTAAAAAGTGAAAAGTCATTGCTTCTGTTTTAGAATGATGTAATTTTTATACATATTCACACTATTCAGGGGGAAAGGGGAGTATGTTCTTAGTTTGCCTTTTCTCAAAGGTTTTGAAGAGCTGCCAATTGTGCATGGAAAGTTGGAGAAAGACATTCCTTTAGATACAATTCTGTTTATATATTGCTGCATTTTCTGCACCTTAAAACTATTGAGACTACAAATTCCCAAAGCATGCTCAGCTCTTTCCAATCATATAGGATCAATCAATCAATCACCACCCTCATGGGTTTGCTACCTTAAGTCCTGATTTCGCAAATGTTTACACAGATACTTGACCTGATTGTAATGGAACTACTCACATGCATAAAAGCAAGCATGTGTGTAAGTGGCTGCTAGTTCCAGGCCTAAAAGACCAGATAAAGGGATGGAGAAAAGGATGTACATATAAGGGAAGTGATCAGAGTAACTGGCACACACCTTATTAATTCTGCTTTTTAAATTCTTTATTTTTTACTGTGAGGGTGCAGATGGAGGGAGGGGGAATAGCATGAAGGGGAGTGCTACTAGGAACAAGGCAGAAGAAAGAAGAGGAAGAAAGCTTCACAGGAGAAGAAAGGGTTGAGAAACTGAGGATTACTACAGATATTTGGAAGAAAAAGTTTGCAAAGAGTTAACCTACTCGTTCTGCTTATTCAGAACAAAGACGAGTGATTTATAACATCACAACCAATTACTGCAATAATTTTTTTTTTTTTTTTACTTCAAGTGATGAGTTGCAGGAACAGATGAACATTTTAGAAACCAACATACTAACATTCAGAAATGTCCCTATATATCCATATAGTTTTCTAAAACTCAAATATAAAGATCACAACATAGATTAGAGATCGATAAGATTAAACATGGTGCTGATCTAAAATTAAGGTTTAATTACAATAACGATAGTTTCACAAGGTTTCTAAGAGGCTCAAATACAATTTTTTTCATTCCTCCTCTCCCTCCCGCACCAAACACCAAAATATACACTTTCTAAAAATTGCTCCTCAGAGAGAGACCGTTCCTGCAGTCAATTTAGAAGCTTACTTTTGTTAAAGAAATTCCTCTCTTATCAAATTAAAAAACCGTTCTGAAGAAATAGTCAAAGTGAGTTTTTCCAGAAGTCTTAAACCTTTAAATATTTTTAAATGGCTAAAAATATTCAAACTTGCAGTAGGGAGAGGTGTGGGGATGCAACATGGAGCACAAATACATTTTCCATGTCATACAAACCATTATACAGACAAGTCTAGCTAAAAACAATACAGAAATCTAATGTATGGTACACCTCGCAAACTGGTTCGCCCCATGTCTGGAGCAAAGGCACTCAGACAAAGCTGAAAAAACTAGCTCGGAGTGACAGTTGCCTCTTTGTTGCTACTGAAAGTATAATAGTAAAATGATGATGATGTAAGGTAAGATCAACTATGATATCTCAATGTAGGGGCAGATGTTCTTCCCTCAGCAGAAGGAATTAATTTAAGGAACTGGGCAGTAGACCATGTATTCCTTTAGCTTCTCCAGTTTGATTGCTAAATAGATTCTCCCCTTCAAAGGGAAAGTCCTCTATTCTGAACCTGTTTCACTGGGAAGAGCAGATCTTAACCCGCTATGTCTTCTTAAGCTAATAATAGATGCTGTCGCTTTAGTCAAAGATAATCAAATGATACTCAGACAGTGGTCCCCAAACTTTTTACCTCGCGCCCCCTCCTTACTCCTGTCCGCACCCCCAAGAGGTGGGAGCAGGGCCATGACTCCAGGAGTGGGGATAAGGACGGGGTAAGGGGGCCGGCAGCTGGGGCCCCGGGTCAGTGGCGCTGCAACTCACTTTTAATAGTGGGGGTGCTGAAAGCCAACCCCCTTACCCCTGTCCGCCCCAGAGCTGGGGCTGGGAGCAGGGCTGTGTCTCTGGGAGGGGAGGGGGAAAATCAGACAGGGGTAAGGGGGCTGAGACTGGGGCCATAGTCAGGACCCCGGGCACGGGGCTGGCAGCTTGGACCCCGCGTGAAACCTACACCCCCTTACCTCTAGTTCCTATGCCTGGGCCACCCCCCCCCCAAATGTTCCTCTGCACCCCCCTAGGGAAGCGCACCCCACAGATTGTGGACTTCTGCTCTAAGAGCATGTTTCACTATGTTCTGTCCACCAGTTAAAATATCATTCACCAGTTTATGCTCATCTTCTGATAGCACTTGAATAAAGGTGGTGAAACTGATAACAGGATGTCATAACTATAAAGGGAAGGGTAACAGCTCTCCTGTGTACAGTACTATAAAATCCCTCCTGGCCAGAGACTCCAAAATCCTTTTCCCTGTAAAGGGTTAAGAAGCTCAGGTAACCTGGCTGACACCTGACCCAAAGGACCAATAAGGGGACAAGATACTTTCAAATCTTGGCGGGGGGGGGGAAGGGTTTTGTTTGTGCTCTTTGTTTTGGGGGTTGTTCGCTCTTGGGACTGAGAGGGACCAGACATCAATCCAGGTTCTCCACATCTTTCTAAACAAGTCTCTCCTATTTCAAACTTGAAAGTAAACAGCCAGGCAAGGCGTGTTAGTTTTACTTTGTTTTCTCAACTTGTAAATGTACCTTTTACTAGAGTGTTTATCTCTGTTTGCTGTACTTTGAACCTGAGGCTAGAGGGGGGTCCTCTGAGCTCTTTAAGTTTGATTACCCTGTAAAGTTATTTTCCATCCTGATTTTACAGAGATGATTTTTACCTTTTTCTTTAATTAAAAGCCTTCTTTTTAAGAACCTGATTGATTTTTCCTTGTTTTTAGATCCATGGGGGTTGGATCTGTATTCTCCAGGAGTTGGTGGGAGGAAGGAGGGGGGATGGTTAATTTCTCCTTGTTTTAAGATCCAAGAGGTTTGGATCTGTATTCACCAGGGAATTGGTGAAGGTCTCTCAAGGCTACCCAGGGAAGGGAATTAGCTTTGGGATGGTGGCAGCGGACCAGATCTAAGCTGGTAGTTAAGCGTAGAAGTTTTCATGCAGGCCCCCACATTTGTACCCTAAAGTTCAAAGTGGGGAAGCAGCCTTGACACAGGACATAATACTCAGAGAAGATGAAGAAAAAACCTTTTGTCCTAAAGTATACAATCTTTACCCTCCTTGGCAAATAACATGGAATGTGCTATCTGTCGAAAGCCACTGCTACTACTAACAAGTTAGGACTGGGCTGCATGTAGTGAAAATAAGAACTCCTCCTCATAGGACAGGTGGTATAAAACTTAGCAGCTTTTTAAAAAATGGGCTAACAAGAAGCTGGAGTAGACCAAACAGATTTGGCCATGACAACAGCCCATCCAATATGGGTAAAGAAATTCTGGTCTGTGAAGGGGCTCTCAAAATGTCAAAAACTGGATGGGAGAATTCTTTCATTGCCACAGAAGGTAATTTTAGATCTACCAATTCACAAAACTGCGGGGCATCCTCAGAGGAAGACAAAGCAGAAGCGATGCCCACATTCTGACCAGAAGAGTCCAGCTCTGTTACTAGCTGCTGCTAGTCCATCTGTGGGGATAATTCTTCTTCCTCTTCAGATAGAGAACCTGGTAACATCATCAGACATTCTTCACTGAAGTCAGGAGATGGAGACAGATCCAGAAAGCTCAAATCTATTATACAGATCCTTTCTTGATCTTTAGCAGGAGAATGATTCATATGCCAAATAGTAGCTGGGAGACTCCATAAAGCCCCTTGATGTATACCAACAAAACCATGCAGCTTAAGGAGCCCATTGTTGCCAGTACCCACCCTCAGGTACCATTTTATAAATCAAGGGGTAAGGAGGATTAAAGGTTCAATATCCAGGTGTATATCTTGCTCCTACAGAATGAAACATAGGGAATGTGTCAGGTTGTTTAGGTGCATCCTACTCCTCTTCCAAAGGTGGATCCAATCTCAGATCCATAGCCAAGAAGATCGGAGAACTACCAGAACCAGGATGTGACGCATAGTAAATGGTGTTATAGAGAATCTGAGGGACTTGGAGGCAGAAGAGAAAATTCTGGAGAGAAACTAGGTATTTCCTCCATTCTACGACCCCGAACACAGACATGTGAAGGGGCTTTTCCTCTCTCCCAACCCTGAAGGTATCTCTTGTAGATCTGTTGCCCAATCTGGTTGTAGAGCTGTATGGCAAATTTTGGCTACTACAGTAATTCTGTCTGGTTCCGATGACTCCACTGTTGCCAATTCTGGTCAGGTCTTTGCCATTGTCTTTAGATCCATAGGAACCCTCAAATCTAGTAACAATGTTCTGTCTAGATTTTTCCTTTTGGATTGTTATCTTCAGTCTGGGAACTGACGTGGATGGATCCAGGTCTGATGGATCCAATGAATCACTCATCTGGGATCCAGCCCTGCTAACACTGGATGGTCTTTTCCGATTCTGATTTAGTTGGGGATTGGTCCTGAGGTCCCTTCCAACCCTGATATTCTATGATTCTATACATCTTCCTCAGAGCTGCAACCGATGCATCTGGTGGCCTTTCAGGTGGCCTTGACTTTGGAGTGTCTGAAGCCAGTGCTGACAGAAGCTTAAGAGCTTTTAGTTTCATCAGATCCAATGTCCTGTGTGCCATGAGCACTGCTGACCTTGGGGTTACCTCTGGTGCTGATTTCTTCATAGGTACCTTAGTCCTAGTAGGTGCCAAACTCAGAGATGACACAGGTCTCTTCACTCATATTACACGCTCTTGGATGTATCAGATACAATAGACTTTGCTGCTATTGCTTTCAGAAGAAAATGTTACTCACCTTGTGCAGTAACTGTGGTTCTTTGAGATGTGTGTCCCTATGGGTGCTCCACTTTGGGTGTGTTTGTGCCCCCTGCACCTCTGATCAGAGATTTTAGGTAGCAGTGTCCGTTTGGTCCACACATGTGCTCTCCCAGTCCCATGCCCTGCATCAGGACTATATAGCTCTGCGCAGGCAAACTGCCCTCAGTTCCTTCTCTACCGCAGAGCTCATTGGTAAGAACTCCAAAGCAGAGGGTAGGACGACGGATAGTGGAGCACCCATAGGGACACACATCTCAAAGGAACCACAGTTACTACATAAGGTAAGTAATCTTTTCTTCTTCTTTGAGCAGTGTTTTTATGGATGCTCCACTTTAGGTGACTCTACAACAATACCTCTAAGGGAGGGGTGGGGCTTCAGAGTCAAGTCTAGAACTGAGGATAAGACAGTGGAGCCAAATATGGCATTGGACGCTGAGTCGTGGATGAGTGGATAATGTTCAACAAATGTATGAGCAGTTGTCCAATTTGCTGCTTTGCATATTTCTGTGACCAGAATGTTTCTGAGGAAGGCTATGGAAGTGGAGCGAAATCTCATGGAGTGAAAACAACGAGGAGTCCTTGTGGCACCTTAGAGACTAACAAATTTATTTGGGCATAAGCTTTCGTGGGCTATAACCCACTTCATCTGGGTATGCCCAAATAAATTTGTTAGTCTCTAAGGTGCCACAAGGACTCCTCGTTGTTTTTACTGATACAGATTAACACGGCTATCCCTCTGTAACCTGTCATCATGGAGTCAGTTCATACTCTAGAAGGAGGTTGAAGATTGAGAGAATGAAAGCAATAGGTAATGCAGTCCGATATCCATCTAGAGAGTCTTTGTTTAGAGACTGAGGATCCTTTGATCTGTCTGCAATGGAGAGAAATAGTTTGGGAGATTTCCTGAAGGGCTTAGTCCTATCTAAATAGAAGGCTAGTGCTCTCCTGACATCGAGTGTGTGAAATGTCGCCTCCCTTTGTCCTGGTGCAGTTTTGGAAAGAAAATTGGGAGGTGGATAAGTTGGTTTATATGGAATTCCGAAGATATTTTCAGTATGAACTTGGGGTGTGGTCATAGTGTAACCTTGTCTTTGAAAAAGACTGTAAATGAGGGGTACATTAGAGCCCCTCTCTGAGAGGACGTAAAGGCTACTAGGAATGCAGTTTTCACAAAGAGGTATAGAAGAGTGCAGGTGGCCATGGATTCAAAGGGAGGCCTTGAAAGGCAACTGAGGACAAGGCTGGTGTAGGCATCTGACTTGTGGGAAGAGGTTACCCTTGAGAAACCTTATTGGAGGATGAGTGAAAACAGAATAACTGTCTATTTTATGATAAAAGGCGGTGATGGCTACAAGAAGCACCTTTGAGGTTAGAGATAATCCTGACATTTTTAGTTCTAGGATGGAATCTAGCACAAGCAGTAGCAGAGGGGATGTAGGAATAATTGTCTCAAGTCTCAGCAGAGTTGGAATCTCTTCCACTTTTGAATATATGTGCGATGAATAGTTTGTTTCCTGCTATGTAACAGCACCACCTTTACATCCTCAGAGCAGGTCATTTCCAAGCCTTCAAACCATCAAGGAGTCATGCCTTGAGCCAGAGAGCCTGTAGATTGGGGAGATGGACCTCAACAGCACCCTGACTGTACTTTGCCATAAGAGCTTGGTAATTGGTGATCCTAAATTGTAGGGTCACTGATTAATATGATTTTAGTCCAAATAACTCAGGTTTCAAATCCTTGTGACAGGGTGTCGATTTAGCTTGGCGCTGTCTGCCACATTCATGTACAGGGTCAACAACAATGGAGTTCAGGGATGAGTGCGAAAATAAAAAGTCCAAGTCTTTAGAGAGAACATAGTATTTTTTGTCTGCTCTCTTGCATATGGGAAGTATTGTGGCTGGTGTCTGCCATATAATTTTTGCTGGGTCCAGCAAGGCCTCATTAATGAGAAGTGCAATGTGGGCATGTACAGGACGTTGAGCAGCTTGTGTTGCGACTCCTTAACCTCTTTCAGCAGAATTTTTAAAGAAGCCACTACCCTCTTGATAAGGTCCTGAAATCGTTTGACGTTATCTGCCAAGGTTGGTGGAGGAGGCATAATAGCTTTAACAGGAGAAGTTGAAGAGATATTGGTTGAAGAAGTAATCTCTTTGTCTAGTCTCACTTTCTGTTCCTCAAAGGTCTCCTCTTGCAGATCATGAGGTCTAGACAGAGAAACTGTTGAAGATCGTCTTCTCCTATCCCTATGCGAAACACTATGGGCCCTCAATAACTAGTGTCTATAGGCTACCCAGGAGTCCCAGTAAGGTCACTGAGGTAGTGCAAAGGGCATGGGTGGGGCAACCAAGGATGTCCATACCAACTGGATGTGTCGTGTCTCTCATAATGGTAAGCTGGTTCTGCAGAGGCCTCAGGCTGGCTCACTCTCTGATAGTGGAATGGAGAGCCTTCAACATTTAAACCAGGGAGAGCCAGGCATACCCTGTCCAGGTTTCACTTCCCCAGAGAGAAGAGACAAGGAAAAAATAAGGACAGGAAGTAGTCTGCTATTTTAATAAGAGAAAAGAGGGGGTTTTTTGTTTGTTTTTAAAGAAAAAGGGGAGTACTAACAATAACTAATGGAAACTATGAACTAACACTAACTAACTCGAACAAGATAAGATATAAATGAGGAAATTTCAATTCAGATGCTGCTGGGGCTCCACCTCAGGCTGACTCGGTTGAGAAGGAACTGAGGGCAGTTCGCCCACGCAGCACTATATAGCTCTGATGCAGGGCACAAGACAGGGAGAACATATGTGTGGCCTGGACAGACACTGCTACCTAAAATCTCCAATCTGAGGTGCAGTGGGTGCGAATGCCTCTAAAGTGGAGTATCCATAGGGACACTACTTGAACTAGTAAGAGTTCTGTCTTTACTCATTCTTGGAGTAAATGTACAGCAGATGAAGCTTCTGGGTGGAGTGTGTCTTTCACCAAAGACATGCCTTATATTAACGTCTGATGCTGGAAATACTTCTGGACACAAAGTGCCTCTTTTGAAGACTGCTCCTCTGATTTTTGACTCCACTACTACAGTTAGAACAGAGAGATTAAAAATTCTAACTTTACTAAGAGTATTAAGTATGAGAAAGGCAAGATAGATAAGGTAAGAACTTTTATTGGACCAACTTCTGTTGGTGGAAGGTACAAGCTTTTGAGCTACACAGAGCTCTGCTTTAGGTCTGGGGAAGGAAACAGTGTCTGAGATAAAATATCTAACATTAACTCTAAAATATCTACATATCTAATGATACTATAGATGAAATCCAAGAGATATGGAGAGGTTCACTTTTGTCTAATGCTGCGGTTGAAAGGAACTGGGGAACAGTAGACACCATGCCACATTATAGCCTTGCCTTTATAACATTTTAGAGAGGGCGTGTGAGCACTCTAACAGGCACTGCTTAGAACAGGTTCTACTGTCTAGGCTGCACCAACTGGCACAACCCAAGAATGGGAATTTGCAGAGGACACTCGAAGATGAACAGGAAGCTAGAATGGAACAAATAGTGCCACCACCTTAACTACAGATCCTCCTATAGTGTACAGTAGCTGAAACACTTTGACACATTTCTGAACATTTAAAGCAAATATTTGTTTGAAGATCAACTACGTTATGCTAGAACGGACAAACTTAAAATAGTATAACATTAAAAAGAATCTTTTTAGTCACTTAAATCAGTGTTTTATCTGAAATTTGAGCTGCAATTACCAAAGTACTCATGCAACTGACAAATTTGACAGATGTCAAAAATTAATCAATCATTCTGATGGTAATGAAGGGACACTGTTATTTGAACAACATTTTTAGTCAGTACAGGAGGAAAAGAACTGAAGAATAATGGATGTGATGCAAAAGTGGTTTCTCTTAATGCATCAAAATATCAGCAACTGAAGCAACTGATCATTGGTTGAAGTTTAGACTAGGACACACAGACGTGTGTGTTTTTGTTGCCTTAATACACTGAGACAGAAGAGGAAAGAAATGAAGCAACATGCATACATGAGCCAAAATCCATGCTGGAGCACACAGTTGATATTCTCTTTCATGAAGGATATTATTTATTTGTATTATAGCAAGAGGGGGGCAAGCTCCACTCAAACTGGGGCCCCATTGTGCTAGGCACAGTACACGAAAAAGACATCTTTAACTACACTGAAAACTGGTTTAAGGTTCCAGAATCTACAAATGATTAAAAAATAAAGGTTAGGATATATAGTTTAGTATAACTAAACACCTGTCAGACAAACTGAATACCTGAAGTCAATAGCATTGAGTCCCAACAGCATGCCAGCAAGCATATTTGCTTCCTCTCCCAGGACAATTGCTCCATCTTCATAAAATCTCCTTCAAGAAACAAAATGGTTTTCACCACACACACACAAAAATCAAACAAACGCACCAGAAATGAGCACCAATCTCTGTTCTAAATAATAATTCAGCTATCACATTGACTATTCAAGTTATTTTTTTTTTAAAAAAAGACTTTTTAAATCCAAATAAATGAAAACAGCCACTGGCTGCCCAGATGGCATTCACATTTCACTTCTGGTAAAGCAAAGGAAGAGATCACTATAAAGGAATACATTCAAGAGGGGGGCAGGGAAGTGCTCCATAATGATAAAACTATTTTAAAATGCATCAAATCCAGACATTGCCAAACTAGATATATGTTAATTAATGTATTAGGAGACTATTTCATGCCCTTGAGAAATAGCAGTAGAAAAGGATAAGCCAAAAAACAACCCCCACCCCCCAAAAAGAGAGAGAAAAAGACACAATTGGAGTTTTACTTGTGAATGAGAATGTGTCATGCCTACTGAAAGAATGACAATTGATGCCACTGTAAAAGCCATCTATATTTCTTAATTGTACTTAGAGTTAATTTTAAGACCCAGTATTCAGATTTAACTTTCAACAGTTGACTATATTAGCAGACTACACTCCTATTTTTAGCAGCGTAATGTCCCACTGCCTCCCCACTGCTGAAGCCTTTCCCTGCCAGAGGGAAAGACTCTCACATAGTGCATGAAAGATCATTGAAAGACTGGGGCCTAAGGTAAAACACCAAAATCCACATTTTAGAACCTAAATAAATGGCCTGATTTCAAAAAGGGCTAACTACAGCCATCTCCCACTGAAATTAATAGCACCAGCAGATGCTCAGCACCCTTAAAGTCAGGCCACTTATTTAGGTGCCTAACTTTAGGAACTCATGTTTGAAAATTTTCTCTCTCTCTCTAAGGGTTTTTTTTTAAGACATAAATCTCTAAATAATAATTCTGGATAATTCAACTGATATTGACATAATTATACACAAATTTATATGAGAATTCAGTTAATTCTATAGCTCCACACAGGAAATCACTGGTTTAGTCCTCTGCTGCTTGTGGATTGGGAACCCCAAATGTTTTGCTTTAGTGCTGAGTAACTGGAAATCTAAACTTCCAGCGCCAAAAGTTCAATATTACTAAAAGTAATTTCATAAGTTGAATGTATAACAACCATTAATTTAATTTTAAACGTCTACTGAAAAACAGAATCTGTATACATTTCAAGGTTATTGGGAACTTCCTCACATTCCAAATGAATGGCGATAAAGGTTTGTTTTCTAAAAGCTAAACTAGTGAAACAGCCAGCTAATCATAATTATTGTTATCTATTACCTAGCAAGTTAAACTACTGGACATGAACAAGAGTGACAGCTTAAGAGGACTTTTTTTATAACAAAATTCTTGAGAAGAAAAAATTAATAAAACAAGAGTTAGGCTTTTTTTAAAAAAAAGACATGCTTAAGTGCTTTAAGAATTTCTCACACAGTTCAAGTGTAAGTATACCTGGATAAATGCTTATAATTTTAAGCAAAGAGCATGTGACTGGAAGGCTCAGTTAATTCATCTGTAAAATGGGAATAATATCTACCTGACGCTGGTGCAATTTAAGATTTGTAAAGCACTTTGAGATCCATGGACAAAAAGTGTTACAGAAGAACAAAATATGGCAAGTGAAATTATTTTCCCTTACTCAATTTTGTTGCTGTTCTTTGAATATTCTCCAGTCTATTTAAGTCTCTCTGATATCGTGAGGCCTGATACTCGCAATATTATAGGGGCAGTCTCAGCTCTATATACAGAGACCCCTCTGATCCATGACATGAAGCCCCTGCAAGAGCCACCCAAAACAGCAGCAACATATTTTGATACCATATTTATCATACTACAAGCTCATATTAGATTTCCTAGCCACTATTGCCTTCTCTTTTATTAAGACAATAAAACTACATAATTGGTATATTATCAAATATAACCAAAGTTATTATATTTTACAGCAGTACTTCACAGCTATAACCAGCACTGGTGTGCATTAATTCTAACCTTTCCCTCCGTCCTTTCTAAAGTACTTTACCAGAAGTCTCTTCCTTTCCCCCCTAAGTTATGCCTGGGGAAATTCTCCATAATAACTGGGACAAATTTAATACTTCTTTCACTGTGTTTCTGAGGGCTTTTTAATCTAAAGGCACTTCCTCTATCTTGAGAAGAAGACCTCAAACCAATGTTTAATTTTCTACCTTTATGTAGGCAACAAGCACCAACCCCTCTTCCAAAGTTTAGTTTCCTATCTCACTAATCCTCCCCAAAATTTTCATTAAAAAAAAAGCCAAACTTTTATCATCAAAGAGGAATATACAAGTTTCCAATTATGCCAATGCTAACACACAAATACAGGCCTCTAGATCAGTCTGCAAAGGCAGCAACGGATACCCCTCATACAAACTAAACACACCATTTCTGCTATTTACTTCTTATTCTTATATAGATCAAGTACCAAGTTCATTCCCAAACCCAGGTCTTTTGCCTAAGTAACATTTTGAAATTTAGCATTAAGCAAATAAAAGGACTTTAAGACCTGGTTGTTTTGAAGTCTCTTAGAGCTGCAGAAATATATTCTGACAAATGTTTTTCCATAAGTGCCACCCTGATCCACGCTCTGCCCTGAAAGGAAGAAGAAACAATATCAAATACCTAAATCACATACTGTACTAAAAAGCATTCTGTTTATTTGAACCTCTGGAAAACAATCAGACCAGTACAGCTGGAGGGGGAAAGCCACTACACAATTTGCTACTAAAAATATAAATTTGGTATTTAATGTATACTCGACTACAGAAATAAAAAAACAAAACCACAAAACATATTTCTCACATTTTACAGGGGTATTCAAATAAGAATCCTGAAGTAGCAATCTTTCCTTCAAGAATATAGAAGTGGCTAACTTTCACTCAGATGTACAAAAATATTTCTAATTTAATGAAAACAGATGTGAAAGCTTTGGCAGCTTTCCATACCTATTTCTGTAAATAAGTTTTGCAACATACCTTTGCTTTGGAACTCCTTGTAAACTGCATTTTTGCAATTACTGAAATCTGTTTATCAATCAGTAATTTTACACAGAATTATATTATAAAATTATGTCTGTCTGTACATAATTTTAAAAGCTAAACTTTGTGTTAAATATTTGGCAGTGCAATCTATAATATTTTCTAATTTAAATTTTTTCACTGGTGCCAGTCAAATATACCCAAATCAAACACCAGTAAACAGGTGGCATGCTCCAAACCAAATATTCGTGCTCCAAACCAAATATTTGTGAATGAGAGACCAGATACTATTGACTAAAACAGTAGTAAAATCTGGGCATGCTCCTACAATAAAGAAGAAATTTTTATATGATAGTTGGTCCTAATTCAAAAGATAGATTGTTTGGAATTATTTCCTGTTTGTTTTAATTAGGCAACAGTTATGATTACCCCAATCAAGTCAAGTTACTTCCAAACTATATCAAATCTACCGGCAATTAATTATGTGGCAAGTCATCTTGTTAGTTATTTTTTTTAAATTATACACGCAACTCTTACTAGGCCCATTTCACTGCTGAATTATTATAAAGATTTTAGCAAAAATACTAGCTAACCAAATGCAGACATCGCTCTCAGTTTATATAAACTCAGATCAAACTGCACTCATTAAAGATAGACAAATGGTACATAATATCCATATATCTTTGGAATAACTCGTAGTGCCAAATAAAAACAACATTTATTTTATCACTTGGTGTAGAGAAAGCTTTTTGTTAGACAATAGAGGAACTACCTGTTTAAGATTTAGTCCCATATGGATATTGGCCCCTACTTCTTAAATGGATTAGTGCTTTTTATGCCAGCCCAAAAGCAGCTATGCAAGTCAAGAGAGCTAAATCTCCGCTATTTATATTACACAGGGGAAAAATGTTTACTAACATGTTCTGTAACTGTTGTTTTGCAAGATGTGTTGCACATGTCCATTCCACTTCAGGTGTGTGCATGCCAAGTACACAGATGTCAGAGATTTTTCCCTTGGTGGTACCCGTTGGGGCAGTGCACATGCTCTCTGCTGCCTTGTGCTGCTGCGTGATAGTATAAAGGGCAGAGCCATCTCCAACCCCTTTCAGTTCTTTCTTATCAGATAGACTCTGATAAAGAGGGAAAGAAGGGTGGGTTACGGAATTGACGTACAGACGCTCCCCGGGTTATGCAAACCCGACTTACGGAAAAAGTTCTAAAAGTTCCGTAAGCTTTTTTCTTTTGGCGTAATTGTCAGAGATACGTTCTCAGCTTACGCAAAATTTGACTTATGCAAGGCGTTCTGGAACGGAACGCTTGCATAAGTCAGGGAGCTTTTGTACAACACATCTTGCAGAAAAATAGTTATAGAACAGGTTAGTAACTATTTTTCTTCAATTGATTTCACATGTCCATTCCACTTCAAGTAACTCACAAGCAGTTCAATCTCAAGGTGGGATTGGAGTCTACCAGAATAATAATGGAAGGACAACAAGCCCAAATCTGGCATCATCACTATACTATTACATTTGCCTCTCATTATGCCATCTTACATGCACTGAAGACCAAGTTACAGCTCTGCAAATAACCAGAATATAGGCACACAGGCCACATGTGATATGGTTGAATGAGCCAGTACCCTACTCGATGGAGTTACATTGGCCATGTCATAGCACAAACGTATACAAAAGGAGATCCATAACAAAATTAAAAACTGAGAAGAGACCAGAAGGCCCTTCATACTGTCTGCAACTGCCACAAACAATTGCGAGGATCTAAATGGTTTAGTTCTCTCCAAGTAAAACGCTAACGCTCTCCTAAAATCTAATGTGTGGCGTCTCTCCTTATCCTTATGAGCATGAGACTTAGGAAAATAAATTAATAAATATAATGTCTGATGTGGAAGTGAGAGACCACCACTTTGGTGAAAAATTTCAGATGGGGGGTAAGTTTACCTCATCCTTGTAGAGGACTGTGTACAGAGGGTCAGACACTAGAGCTTGGAATTCATCCACTCTCCTGGCTGAGGTGATTGCCACTGAGGTGGCTACTTTCACAGAGAGATGGAGAAATGAGCAGGTAGTCAGGGATTGAAAGGGAACACGCATTAAGGGTAGAAAGCTGAAATAGCTGGTAGATGGACTCTGCTGGAACTAAAGGCAAGACCTAGCTATTTCAGGTATAACGAATAGTCCATGTGATGGGGTGGTCTGGAAGGGGTTAAGGTGGCCAGGTAGGCCTATTAACTCCAGAGGCTGCCCCTGGAAGGAGAGCCAGGGAGCAGGAGCTTGATTGCAGGAGGTTCAGCTGGGCACAAACTGATGGGGCCTATAAAACCAGGAAGCTGGCAACACACAGGGGCGACTACTGGGAAAGGCTGCAGTCACACCCTGGAAAGAGGAAGTTGGAGCTGATATACCCAGAGTATACCAGAAGAGTAGGAAGCAGTCCAGGGCAGGAGCAGTGAGGACTGAGAGAGCAAAGCCCAGAACTACTGGTTTGAGGGTCCCTGGGCTGGGATCTGGAGTAGAGGGCGGGCCCGGGTACACCTACCCGCCACTTGGGAAGTGGCACTGGCGGGATAATGAAAACGAAGACTGCCTGGGTCACTGTGACTTTGAAGAACTATACCCCAGAAGGGGGGGGGGGGAGTGAGTAAAGCACCATTTGATAGTCCAGCATGTATTTTAATAGAGCCTTTTTGATGGGACCTGATGGAGAATCTCTGCCATTTAGCCTGGTAAATATACCGAATAGAAGGTTTACTACTATTCAAGAGGACATCTTGTACCTCCTTTAAACAGCTCTCCTCCTGAGATGTTAACAATGGAACATCCAGGCTGTAGCCGGGTGGTCACCCGCTCCTTCCCTGAGGGGTTTAAAGACAGCCCTGGGAAAGGGCTGTTGCGGGGGAAGCAGCTACTAGGCTGATTGGGAAGCAGCCGCAGCTGGGCCATGCCCCAATCAGGCCTCAGCTGGCCCTATACAAGAGGCTGGGAGCCAGGAGCTCAGCAGACTCCCTCTAGCTTCTGAGAGGGAGGGACCTGGCTGCAGGGACCTGAGAAGAGTACCTGAGTGGAGCAGGGCTGGGGAAAGGCAGAGGAGCTGGGGAGCTCCAGCCTGGAAAGCCCCAGGCTGCGGCCTAGCAGAAGGTCAACGGGTACTGGGGGTTGCAGAGGGCAGCCCAGGGTAGGCAAAGGCAGCAGGTCCAAACCCAACCTTGCCAGTGATGAGTAGGCTGATACTGCAGTCTGCCCCAGGGCGCAGGGGCTACACAATGACTGGCAGTAGCCTTATACTGAGGCGAGGTGGGTATAGTGGGTGGGGGGTTCCCCGGGGAGGGGAGACCCTGAGAGAAAGGGGTTCTTGCCAAGGGGCAGCACCCCAGATAACGGGGCACTGGGTCCGGGAGGGACACGGGGGCCAAGCGGCAGCGGGATGCCAGCCTGAAGAGGGAGTTCCGGAGGCTGGACGAGCTAATTCCCAGGACACCAGCAGGAGGCGCCGCAGGAGTGAGTCCCACATTGCTACACAGGCTATCAACTGAATAGCCTCCTGGTTGGGACTGAAGAAGTGACCATGGTCCTGAGATATGAGGTCTGGGTCCGATGGAATTGTCAAAGGAACCACAGCCGAGAGGCTCAGCAAAGAGGAAAACCAATGCTGGTGAGGCCACACTGGCACTATCGGCACATGGTCCTGCTTGATTTAACACTCTGGGTAGGAGTGACGGTCGAAATGATAGACTGGACTTCTACATAGAGTGCTTCCGCAGATGTGAACAGGCTGAAATTGTGAACAAACAGCATCACTTGCCCCATAACCTCAGCTGTACAGAACGCAACGCCATCCACAGCCTCAGAAACAACTCTGACATTATAATCAAAAGGGCTGACAAAGGAGGTGCTATAGTCATCATGAACAGGTGGGAATATGAACAGGAGGCTGCCAGACAACTCTCCAATACTACATTATACAGGCCCTATCCTCCAATCCCACTGAGAAGTACTAAAAGAAACTACACCATCTGTTCAAGAAACTCCCTGCTACAGCACAGGAACAAATCTACAAAGACACACCCCTAGAGCTCCGACCAGGGGTATTCTATCCGCTACCCAAGATCCATAAACCTGGAAATCCTAAACGCCCCATCATCTCAAGCATTGGCACTCTTACAGCAGGATTATCTGGCTATTTGGACTCTCTCCTCAGACCCTACACTACGGGCACTCCTAGCTATCTTCGAGACACCACCAACTTCCTGAGGAAACTACAATGCATTGGTGATCTTCCTGAAAACACCATCCTGGCCACCATGGATGTAGAAGCTCTTTACACCAATATTCCACACAAGGATAGACTACAAGCTGTCAGGAACATTACCCCTGATGAGGCCATGGCACACCTGGTGGCTGAGTTTTGTGACTTTGTCCTCACCCACAACCATTTCAGATTTGGGGACAACTTATACCTCAAGTCAGTGGCACTGCTATGGGTACCTGCATAGCCCCACAGTATGCCAACATTTTTATGGCTGACTTATAACAATGCTTCCTCGACTCTCGTCCCCTAGCGCCCCTCCTCTACTTATGCTACATTGATGACATCATCATC